AAGCACCAGTTATTTTGCAAGGAATCAAGCTTGGCATCATATGCATTGTTTAATCATCTTAACAAATCTATGAGATAAGTTTTATTATCCCTATAGTACCCCAGAGGAAACAGGCACAGAGCATTTTATTTCTTTTGGAGTCAGGAAGCAGTTAGTRGAAAGCCAGAATTCAGACTTAGTTCTGACTCCAAACCCATTACATCATATCATTTCAGCACTGTCTCTTTTCACTCTGTATCAGATTGTACTGTTTGGAATGTTTAAGTGTCTGTATTACTCATGTCCACATGGCATTATTCTGGCTAATATATAATAGTTTTGAATACAGCTATACTAGTTTTGATTCTGCTGTAACATAAAATAGTTCATGCCATTATGGATGTATAAAAAAATTTTGTTCTTCAAACAAGGTGGTCAGAAGGTGCTCACTGAATTTTCTGAAATGTTGAAAACCTAACAAAGTGTAAACCAAAGAGTATTTTTAATCATTAATTATTCATTTTTTCCTATAAAACTAGGAGAGGAAAAACTAAAATATGTAAGAAGTAGCAGTCAGCTTTTATTTAACTTTGTGGTGTGATCTTTGCATGTCACCTCGTTTAACTTGCACAAACTCTTGTGTATATTAGAGGAGAGAGGTGCTTTCTCTGCCTTGTCCCATTTTGTGTCCTTGGCTTAAGGGGATGAATTACTGTCTCTAGAGGCTGTAGCCTCCAACTCTTTTCTGTTCTATTAAAGTATATAACAGTGTTAGTACCATTTGCTGCATGCCAAAGAGAATTCTCTCTTAATTGGCCTTCTACTGTAGGCCACACTTCTAAATGTGTCACTTATTAATGATAATGAGAATAATAACTGCCATATATTGGAGAAGGCTATGTGGCAAGAATTCTGCTTGATAGTTTATCAATTTTGTTGATCATTTCTACTAAAACTTAATGGATAGCTTTATTTTCCCTGTTACACAGATGAGAAACTCATGCTATTTATCTAGCAAGTAGAAGAATGAGGATGCAAACTCAAGTTTTCTGACTCCAAGCCTTAGCTGGTCTTGTTTCCTTGATGAGTATGCAACACCCCTACTGTGTGCATCCAAGTAAAGACTCTTTCCTTGCTTTCCTTGAGCTTCCTAGGGGCTCTGAAAGGCAAATTTGAGGCCAGAAAAAGTTTGTATTTTATTGATGTAGTTTTCATTTTCTAAAATTATTTCAGTTTTTTATATACAAAGACTGCAAAATTTTATTTGTGCTTAAGGGATTTGTCTGTATATTAAAGAAGTAGTGAAGAAATTTAGAATAGGAATTTTTGTATAATTTAGTGTAGCCTTTTCTATTACAAATGGATTCAGGTATTTATGTTTTTTATCTTCAGGTATTTATATTTTTCCCATCTATGTTTTATAATGTATAGCTTTTTAGAGTACTAAAGTAGCAGTGTACAATATTTTCCTAATTCTATATTTTGATACTTGAAAAACATACTATACAGTGATTGTTTTCATATTCAGTGATTCTTACAACCTAGTAAAGTTGAGGGACCAAGAAGTTCTGTTATATCATTTAACATATGTGCAAACTGAGGCTCTGCTCTCTTGACTAGTAAGTAAAAGCATAGACAGATGGGCCCACTTGTCCCCCGTGTGTGCTGATTTTCCAGTGACACACCTTTTTTGGATTAGTATCTCTAGCATGATTAACAACGTAGTTACTTTTTTCTGGATTCTGTGTATTTGATGAATTTTTCTCTTCTAGTCTTAAGAGATTTTCTTTCTTTCTTTTTGGTGTTATAGGGATAAAAGTGGACCAAAATGTTCATAAATAATGCCCAGATAACTGGATTGCCAAATGGAAAAGAAAAATATTAGCCATACATTTCATATCATATATAAGAATAGATTAAAAAAAAGATTCCAAATGGACTAGGATTTAAGTGGAGAGAAAGAGAGAGAGAGAGAGAGAGAGAGAGAGAGAGAATGAATTAAGAATTACTCAAGCACTAGAATAAAACATGAGTGAATTTTGCTTTAACCTTGGGTGTTATAGGAAGAGACTTTCTAACCATGCCTCAAAACCTAAAAGCAATGATAAAATATTGGTAAATTTCACTGCATAAAGAGTTTTAAAACTTTTTGCATGACAAACAAGTCACCAGCAAAATCAAATGACAACTGACAAACCATGAGAAAATATTTGTAACTTATACCACAGACATAGGACTATTATCTCAAAAAATAAGAGACAAAAACACCCAAAACCTGATAGAAAGATTGGGAAAAGACTTGACAAAATAATTAACAAAGGTAAAAAAAAAAATGCCCTTCAGATGTGTGTTTTTTTTTAATGTTCACTTGCTCTTAATTAGAAAAATGCACACTAAAACAATGGTGAGAGTCTATTTTTTTACCTATCAAAATAGGGATGCATTTTGTTTATATTGGACAAGTTTTGTAACATGCATAAACAACTATGTTTTTTCAGTGTCACTATTTTTTGTTAGATGTGAATCCACTCAGATTCATCATTGATAGCTTTATTCATCTTGATACTCATTAAAAGCAAACATGTATTTTCATGCTCATTATAATAAAAATGTTATGGAAATTTAAAAAAAAATAGGGATGCAGATATCTCGTATGTTGCTGGTAGGGATGCAAATTGGGATATTTCTTTTCAAGGAAGGATTTTGAAACATTCTTATTTCCTAAATCTTMAGAGATCCTTGAAGTGATAGCACCCCAGTAGTAATGAACACACCGTACACTCTCAGATTGTAGTTTCTAAACACCATTTTCCCACAAAAGGAATTAGGGGTCCTTAAAGAAGTGATTAATTTTAAGGATTTAGCAGAGAATATATAAGCCTACAACAAGCCAGAAAGTCTGGGTATGATCAAAAAAGGATGAGAAATTGTTGAAAGAACTTCAGAGCCAATCTGAAGTTGCTCATAATTGCCAAAACAGAAACATTTTGACCAAGAAGTTAAATGATAATAGAATTGAGGTTTTGCCCATTACAATAAAATAAATATTCATGAATTCATGCTAATGTAAAAGTCAAATAAACAAATGAGAAAGAAGGGATGCTTCCTACTTACAAAAGAATTCCAGTTAATACATGTAGCCAGAAAAGGGRTGATAGAAAATGACCTTTAAATAAATACCACAGAATATTGCTGACAAGATCCATGGTTGCCAAAAGTATTGGGAAAGTTTTTGAGAAAGAATGGAATATTTACATGGACTCAGTCAGGGCTGGAGTCATGCAAAGACTTGACCTGRAGCTTGTAGGAGCTGCTTCCAGATGCTCACTCATATGTCTGCTGTTGGAGGCCTCATTTCCTCTCAGGCTGYTGGAGTGCCTTCATGACATGGGAATTGTTTTCCAGAATAAGTGGAAAATAGAGCAAGGAAAGAAAGGATAACATTAGGCTCTGAAATCACACCCATCATTTCTGCCTGATTCTGTTAGATCTTGTAATACTACACACTGGGAAAGGACATCTCTAGCCTGTTGCTTAGGAATTCCTTTTCCCAAAGAGTTGCCACATTCCTTTTGTTGCTTGTTGCTGGTRCTCCCAGTCTTGGTTCCTTTTTGTAAGGGATGCAGTGYTCGTCCTGGGCAGACGTATTGTAAYAGAATCGGCTGTAGAAAGGAGGGGATGAGATTGATCTTTCCCAGCCCGACCCTCAGCTCTTCCTTAACTCAGCCTTTTATTACCYTCCTCCCACTCTGTGTAGTAAATTGTTCAGGAAACCATTTCTGAGCCACAAGACTTTAGACAAGCCTTTCTAATAGCAATGATCATGTTTAATGTCTGTCTTTCTTTTACTAATGTGGCATTTGTTCTATATTCCCAAGGCCAACCATAGTGACTAAAGGATCCTTAATGGTAAATGAATTATCTTTTGAAATATAAATAAATCTAAGAACCTCATTTAATTTTKGGGCCTTTGTCTTTCCTAAACCTTGGAAAGACAAGGAGGAAGAGATCTCCTTCAGCCTATTTTCTGTTTTCCCAAGCAGCCCTGCTACCTTTGGGAAATTTGAGTTCTGCCTCTTTCTGGCACATCTGTTTCTATCTAGGGGCTTCTCATTCTAGGTACATTACCATAATTATTCAGTGACACCTGTTAAAGCACAAGAAAGTAGGTTTCATGCAGGACCATTAAAATGAGTACAGGGACATTGCAATGGGGTCTTGCCGTAGGGGAGAGAGATGGAGCTAACTCAGAATTGCACAGGCAAGTGGGAATTTAGAACCAAAGATCAGGTTGGGGGTCAGTGGATTGAAAAYTAATAAGAATGTCAAAAGTCTCTGGCTTAACCCACCTAACAAGATTCTTGGTAAAAGCAGACCAGGGTGATCAGACATCACCTGGAAAATAGTGAAGAATGAATGATGAATTGGATCAGATATTGAGGGTGATCAGATATTGGATAGTGCAGTCTAGGGTGGTTCTTGCTAAATGGACTAATAAAAGTTCTTTRTTAAAATTGGATTTTATAAGGAAGTGCACAGATAGACCTACCAGAATGTTCAAGGACTTGACTAAAGTCTGACTAAGCAAAGAATTTTTGACAAAGAGCAGAAGCAGATTTGTTTAGGCTGACCCATAAACTTACTTCTATAACATTTTCTACAGAAGAAAATGAAAATRAATGACCCACCACAAACTTATTCTTAAATTGAAATTGTCTATAAAATGTCACTGAAGTTTTACATGGGAAAGGAATTTACTTATGATCTAGTCCTAGTGATTTCATTTACAGTTTAAGAAATCAAAGGCTAAATTGGTTAAGTAATTTTTCTATACCCATGTTTTCTGATGTGTACTCTAATATCACAGATAGCATAACTTGGCACTATGAGCTTGAAATCTAYATTTTTTTCTTCCAGAAGAGAAATTGTTGAATATTTCTAATRTTACATATTAAATTATATATTTCATATAATAATGATGTATATTTAAAGGAATTATAATTCTTTCCTTTTTAATCCAGATTTAGGTCGATCTCGAGAACTGCAATACGTATATGTGGATAACAACATTCACCTGAAGGGCTTGCCRTCTTACCTGTACAATAAAGTCATYGGGTGCAGTGGGTAAGGATGACTTCACATTTTGGACTTAAAAAGAGATGAATTAATTTTAGTAATTCTGTTTGGTTTTCTTTATCCTTCATATACTAAATCAAATATCCTTATATATTAGGTAAGCAGTTTAGAATATGRTATGTTGGATTCAATTAATAAGCTGTTATGTTCAATAAATAAGTGAAAAATGAATCTACACTTGCTTTTTTTGCTATGAAAATAAGCAGTTTTGTTTTTTATACCTTCATTAAGATTCAGTTGGCAAATGAAATTGCATATATTTTAGTGTGTGACATAATTTGATACACATATACATTACCACATGTGCCATTATAAACTCAGACCCAGCAAGTGGAGGAATCAGCATTGAGTTAAAAATTTTTCTCTCTGAACTCCAYTGTAATGGCAATTTTACTGTCACTACATTTAGGGTAGTGACATTTAGGGTAGTAGCATTTAGGGTAATACCAATTAGAAATATTTAGAATTCAATATTTGAAATAGTCCTTCAATACAAAGCATGATTCTAGAAACCAGAACAGGTGTTTAWTTTCTTGGGAAATGATAGTCTTTTATATTCAGGGCAGCAATAATCTTTTCGTCTCTGTAAGGATTTGAAGAGGGCTTCAGCTACTCCTTCTGCAGCAGTGAGACAGAACCACCTTAAAGTGCTTTCCAGGGTGGTCTAGGATCCAGAGAACCACTCCACTGCCAGAACCCACTTAGTGCTGGTCTTACTTTCCCCACTCARTGGCAAAGGAACACCTCTGAGACTACTTAACCAGCATGTTTGACTCTTCCCTTCTAATTCCCAACATTCAGCATAACCTAGCTTATACATCATGTAGTTCTGGCAAGGAAAGGGATGACAATAAGCATATACATAGGGGACAGCCATTCCCTGTTGACCTGACTCCAGTGAATAATAGTGAACCAGGATTGCTCYAGAGAAAGCAGTGTCAGGAGAAGTGCTCTTCCCATAGGAAAAGTTATATATTTTTTATCTTGGGAAAGCTCTAGATGAGTTCAGTGCCTATATAGGCTGATGAAATCCAAGCTGAGGATTTATTCTAGAACCTTCTGCGAGGCAAAACTGGTGTAGTTTKGGGTCAGTGTTTTTTCTACATCTGATTTTGTCATAGTTACGATACTACACAGTCATTAAACCCAGTGAGTTCTTAAAGATTTTTACTATAATTCTTCCAGGTGGTGAGCAAAGTGTCCTCCATCATCATGGTGCATAGAATGATGCAAGCACACACCAAAGCTCATGGCCCTTTTTCCCATACCGAAATCTTTAGAGACTGCGCCGAAATGTGATTTAAGTCTCTACCGTAATTAAGGAATAGCTTTTGTTTAAGGTGAAGATTGCCTTCTACTTTGATGTTTACTAATAGATATCASTGACTACCAGAAAATTATGTTTGTGCTGAAAAGACTGAGTTTCTCATCTTTGATTTGGTATATGGTAGCACTGGTAGTGAATTTTAGGAGAGTTCCAAATCTTTAAGGAGACAAATAGTAGGGGAAATCAAGTATTAATTAATTTTTATTAAGAGCTTATCTTGTTAACAGTAATAAAAATAAAATTATGAATAGGATAGTATGAAACAACCAAATTTCTAATATTAGTAGTATTAGGATATATACAGACTCACTTCCAAATGGATTGTTATTCAAAAGATATTTGTAGTCTGTTAGCTTAATGCAGTACACAGAATACATTTTTCAGTTTTGGTCGTTACATTCTTAAGCAGGTTCACTAAAAGTTCATTTAACCTATTTTGCAATGAAATAATGATACAATATTTTTATGACCAAATGTATTCAGAATTTTAGTGGGAACACTGAAGTCTTAACAACAGAATTAAGGATCCCCTTTTTTTCTGTCTTTTCTGTTATATCTTAACAACCGAATTCAGGGTCCCCTTTTTTTCTATCTTTTCTATCTGTTGTATATATGAAAAGAGACTCTCCCATTCCAAGTCAAAGTGGTAGTGCTTAATAAGCCTTGGGAAGCAATAGAACAAGATTGTGAGGGAAGCATACTACAAAGGGCACGAATATTTGAGGCCTACAAAATGCACTTCTTGAAGTCCAAAGAAGGTTCATTTGTTCATTCAGTGAGCATTTGTGGAGCAGTTTCTCTATTGATCATTGTGGTAGATAATGGCCATGCAGTAGTGAGCAAAATAGTGCATTGCCTGCCCTCCTGGACATTACCATCTAGCTACGGAGCCAAATGAATAATAAATAATTAAAGAAACTTGGTACTAGATGATATTTAAGCTGAGACCTAAAGGGACAGCTTAAGTGTAAGAAAATTGGGACAACAGTGCTAGATGAACACAGCTTTGAGTCTGTGGGAAAAGAAAGCCTGATATGTGAATGAATACACGCTCACAAATATGCATATTCTATTAACAAAGTATACATAAAGATTTTTATGATTATTTATGTATGTGCATTTAAAAATATATATTAAATCATATCTCAGAGAMTAGAGAGAGAATGGCCTTTAAAATGTTTTAGTGGTCATAAAAATAGCAACTAACCAATGATGCAGTTTCAAGAAATCTCAGAAGTCTCATAAAACTATATTTGGTATTATGGAATTGTGAACAAAGTTAGCTCCTCCTTATGTCTATTTGCTAGATTATTATTGAGCCCTAACTAGCAAATCAACACCACACTAGGAGTTATAGGAAAGGCAAAGATAATTTAGATGTTTACCCTGACAAAAATAACTATAATACAAATAATAAATATCTTGAGAGAGATAGAGCAATAGAAGTTTTGAGCATGGAACTGGTATTTGTGACTTAGCCTCAAAACCATCCATCATCAATTCTATCACATCCTGTGATTACACAGGTCCACTGTCTTCATGGTGGGAGGGGAGGCAGGGAGCACCATCAGGAGCCCATATAGAGAGTGGTTTTTACAGCTTCATTGCATCTGTGCTGTATGATTTTTATTTTTTTCTGGGATTTACTTGTCATTACTATAGGAGTAAATGTCTTCAGCTCTTCTACTTTGTACCCAGAAAGAGAAATCCATCCCTTGTTAGAATTTTAGAGAGTRGTAATTGGCTCATTTGTGTACTCAGGGGAACTTAAAGTGATCCTATACAATGATCCTATTTTGCCAGTTATCTCTTTGTATGAGAAAAAGAAAAATTAAGCTCCTACTTTGCCTTTCCTTGTGTAAATGATCRATTATAATGGTTGGGAGCAATTTGACCTTCTAAAGACTTGTTAATATAACCACTCAAGGTAATAGAATTATTTGAATATGAATTATGTACTCTGAGCTAAACCAATAGATTTAAAATGTCTGTTAGAGCTGAGGACAGTGGCGCACACTTGTAATCCCAGCAACTTGGGAGGCCGAGGCAGAAGGATCACAAGTTCAAGGCCAATTTTGGTAACTTAGCAGATCCTGTCTCAAAATAAAAAGGGCTGGGGATGTAACCCAGTGGTAAATCACCCCGAGGCTCATTCCCCAGGACGACAACAACAATAACAACAAAATAATGCCTTTTAGATCATAGTCCATTTTTCTGTGGGAGCTGCCTGCACTCCAGAAACCATCAATATTAGATATCTGAACCACAGGCCCTGGCTGCATATGACAGAAGAAGAGTGTGATTTGAGCTGCCACYCAAGAGACAGAGTCTGCAGTTTGACTCCCAACAAAATTAATTACTTGCTAAAACAAAAATATAAGAGTTAGAAGGATATAAAAACCCACTCTACACAGTTTAATTTTCATAATGTTCAGGATACAACCAACCCAAAATTACAGAACACATAAAGAACCAGGAAAAATATGACCCATTATCAAGAGAGATCAGCAGAGAACAACCTGAGATGACCCAAGATGTTGGAAATGAAAGAAAGATTGGAAAGTAACTATTAAAATTTTTTTCAATGAAGTAAAGAAAAATAAGTTTGTAATGAATGAAAAGGCCACAAAATAGAAATTATGAAAAAGAAAAGAAAGTTTTAGAGTTGAAAATACATTATCTCATGTAAAATACTTACTTGATGGGATTAATAGCAGAATGTGTATACATAAACAGGAAAAGTCAGTGAACATGGAAGTAGACCAGTAGAAATTATGCAATCTTAGGAACACAAAGAAAAAACAGACTGGAAACAGAAGTGAATACCAGGTCTGGGACAAACTAGACAACTATATGTATAGTTTTCATTCCAAAAGGAGAATAGGGAGGCAATGAGCCAACAATGTAAAAAATACTTAATAAAATAATGTCTCAAAATGTCCTAAGTTTGGTGAAATACATAAATTTATATTTTCAAGAAGCCCAGAGAACCCTAAGTAGGATAAATACAAACTCATGCCTAGGTAAAGCAGCTGAAAATGAAAATAAAAAGGAAATTTTGAAAGCAACTAGAGAAAAAAATGACACATTACTTATAAAGGACCAAATCAAGATTCTTAACCTCTCATCAGTAAACCTCAGGGTCCAGGAAACAGTGGAAAAACATATCTGAAGTGCTAAATAAAGGRAAAAAATAGTCAAAGTGGTATTATGTATCCAGAAAAATATCCAAGAATGAAGGCAAGCCCAGTGCAGTGAGGCATGCCTGTAGTCACAGCAACTTGGGAGTTTGAGGTAGGAGAATCAACTTTAAGGTCAGCCTCAGGAAGTTGGTGAGGTCCTAAAGCAATTTAGTGAGACTCTGTCTGGAAATAAAACAGTTTTATTTCCAGGGCTGGGGATGTGGCCAGTTGTAACGCATTTAGTCCCCAGTATAAAAAAAAATGGTGGCAAAGCACATGATCAGATAGGACAAAATTTAATCCAAAGAAGCTCTGCTCAATTAARACTCTTCATTCAGAACAAGAGTTATTCTTTATAAGTAGCTTAGTTTTTTTATTCCTTCTTCATCTCCATCTCCCCCCTTTTTCTCCTACTTTAAATTGGGGAGAAAAAAAAACTGTTTACTGAAAAGGAGGAGGTTAAATCTGTAGCAGTTTCC